ATAGCGACTATAAAGTAACTATATAGTTACTTTATAGTTACTTTATAGCTATTTTAAAGTAGTTCTAAAGTTGCTAATTTAGCAGTTTCAGCAAAGTAGAGTTGCTGGTAAAACTAAATTGTGCTAGTGAAACTGGTAACTATCTAAAATCTGATTGATTATTGCACTTAATCGCCAATCAGATTTTAGATAGTTACCAGTTTAACTAGCACAATTTAGTTTTACTAGCAACTCTAGTAGCAACCATTGAAGTAAAATCATGGATCGTTTGCATGTTAAATGTATCAATATTATTTTTTATAAATTAGCAAACAATATGTCTTTTTTTTCTCAATAATTGATAACGGTGTTTTTTTAAACTTCTAGATTTAGTTATATTATGTTTGTAGCTCTGGTTTGAACATATTTTACTAATATTTTTTTATAGCTATATGCATTTAAATTTTGTATCAAACAAGTTTACTTAAGTAAAAATAGGGTATCTCAGTAAAAAATAGATTTATTATACTAAAAAAGAATTTAAATATTTAGTCATCTGGTGTAATAAACTTTTTTTTGTTTTGTTAAGTAAACTTGCTTAGTGCAATATTTTAGTTTTAAATTACCATATCTTATCATGAATAAGCACCCACATTGAATAAAGTAGTAGGTGCTTATTCACAATAGGATCTGCACTATCTAAAATTTTAATCTTATAAGAAATTTCACCAATCAAATTACAGTAACAAATCTGCGCCAAAAACTATAGTTTCTAATAATAACAATCAAATTTGAATCAATTTAATTTTTAATGTTTTGTAATTATGACAGCATATATTTCGAGTCAAATAAATTAATTAATTAACAATTTGTTTTCTAATTATGATGTTAACAATAAAAAAAAATATAAAAAGCAAATATTTTTTTTATGTTTTTGATGAGTATTGCAAATACCCAATAAAATATATATCAAACTGTATGAATTAAATCTCTATGTTTTATAAAAATGCCAAAAGAAAAGTGTAAAAGTTATTCTGCATGTATAAAGCTTGATGCTATTAACTATGCAAAACAAACAAGCAATTATACTACAGCATGACAATTTAATGTTAACCATATACAAATTAGTAGATGGCGAAAGAAAGAAGAGGATTTAAAAAAAGCAAAACAAAAAAATTGCAGAATAGGATCTGGTTCTTTACCATAGTATCCACTTGCCAAAGAATCATTAAAAAAATAGATAATTAATTTGCGTGAAAGAGGAATAGGTGTTACATCTTTGGATGTCAAGAGTTATATAAGATATCTACTTGTTACAGAATTTAATCAAATTTATTCTGACATGTATAGATTTCAAGCTTCAGATCTATGGTTTAATCATTTTATAAATCGTTTCAACTTTTCTATTCGCAGGCCTACAAAAGTTTCTTCAAAACTTCCTAATGATTTGCAAGAAAAACTTACTACATTTTATGAAAATATTAATCAATCACGAAGAAACAATAATTTTGACCTAAGCTGCATAGCTAATTTAGATGAAACTTCTATTTTTTTAATATGGTTGGTGCTCTTACACCTGACCTCTGTAGTACTTATTCAGTAAATCTATGTACTACAGCAAATAATAAAAATCAATTCACCTGTGTTTTAGAAGTTTTAGCAGATAGAACCAAACTTCAACCTATGGTTATATTTAAAGGAAAATAAAAGCCCAAGGGTCAGTATCTACCTGGATTAATTATTAAAATACAGAGTAATGCGTGGATGAATAAGAAATTAATGAAAGATTAGATAAAAATAGTTTGGTTGCAAAGAGCTGAAAGTCAAAAAAGATCTTTATTAGTATTAGATTCATTTAAAAGACACATAACTTATTCTGTAAAAAATGAAATTCAAAAAACCATTACTGTTTTGAGTGTTATACCCACAGGATTTATATTTATTGTACAACCTTTAGATGTAAGTATTAATAAGCCATTTAAAGAAAGTCTTCGTAATAAATGGAGAATTTGGATGACCGCTGGAAATCATAAATTTACTAAAAAAAGAAATATGAAAAAGCCAGAACACGATTTAATGTACCATTGGATTATGGAAGCATGGAGTGATATCTCACCAGAAACTATAATCAAGTCCTTTAAAAAATGTGGAATATCTAATGCTTTAGATGGTTCAGAAAATGAATTAATCAGAAGAGATAAAGATAACAATGAGCATATTTTTGTTATATTCAATAATGAAAATGAGAACAGTGAAAGTATTGAAACAGTATCATTAATCTAAAATGTTTGCTACATATCATTGCTATTATAAATTAAAATGCTTGTAAATTTGTCGTTACTGCTATAAAATGCTTTTTTCGATTATTTTCATAATGTAAAATAACAGTTAGTTGTGCATATTAATATTAATATACAAAAAAAATGCATTATTTAGTAAGTTCAAAAAATTCATCATTATGTGCTTTACATGTTAAAATTTTTTTGATTATCAAATTTTCGGGATGTGCATTTGTACAATCAAGTCACAGTCACAGGAGTGATCGACAATTTTTGTTAAATGGGGTGCTTATTCATGATCGACAATTTTTGTTATATGGGGTGCTTATTCACGATGGGTGCTTATTTACGATAGGATACGGTATCAAACTCTTTTTTTTTTTTTATAAAACTCTGTTGATAAAATCTATCACTCTACGATATATTCCTTGAATGATAATTTATCAATTAAAATAAATTTCAATCAGGTGACAAAAACCACTGTATTTGCTATTGACGTTTCACAACATTTTACATTGGTTATAAAGGAGGTAAATCCGATTTTTACTGTTATACTAAAATCATAGTTCTTTCAAAATGATGTTACCGAACGAATGCCTTATTGAAATATTTAATAATTTTGGATCTTATTATAATAATAATGATAATTATCAAACTAATTTTGAAATATTTAGTAATTTTGGATCTTATTATAATAATGATAATTATCAAACTAATTATAAAACCTTATTTTCATGCCTTCTTGTAAACCGTCAAAGGGTGTAGACTTATTGTACCAATATTATGGAGTGAACCAACAAAATATTTCGGTGACAAAAGACTTATAAGAATATATCTTTTAGCATTAAATACTGAAGAGAAAGATCTATTGAC